TGTCTTCAAAGACGTGAGTAGGTAGTGGACACGTTGTGACAGATAATTTAACGAAAAAAGGGGACCAAGGTGCAATTCCTCTTTTGTTTGTTTTCATATGAAGCCCTTTTGAGTGGCATTTGACGTGTCACACATGTGGAGACAGAAAAATTAAACATTCATTTTTTTTTTATAACATTGGTACGATTAAAACAAAAACTAATTCCCATTTCATGTTTCAAGCTGTAAGGGACGTGTTCCCATCTCTAGATGGCTAAGGCCAAAAGAACTGCCTGTATCTTTGGTGTACCCCAAGGATGCACTCTACACCCACGTCACTTATAGCTCCTCTGTGGCTTCACGATGACGCACATGACATCATGATGCGCCATCGTGTCACCTGACGTCACGGTGGGACATGTTGCCATGTGACATTACGAGGTGCCATGCCATTACAGTGTTACGTGACCTCATAGTGTCATGTGACATTATAGTGCTATGTGATATCATAGTGCTTTGTGACATTATAGTGCCATGAGACATCATAGTGTCATGCGACAGTGGCATGTGACATTATAGTGTTGTGTGACAATATAGTGACTACAGTCGCTGACTGTTTTTTCGGACTCCGATAATTCGGACTTGTTGGATATTTCGGACCTAAAGGCGGAACCGTGACTTACCCCATAGAAATAGTGTATATTCACGACCAGTATTTCGGACAGTTTGAAGTCTGAAAGTTTGAATATTCGGACAAAATCGTCGTGAGCGATCAGCGGAAAACACCATCGAGAATTGGCCATTTTGAATTCTATGTTGCCTGCAAATGGATTGGCTTGGTTTGGCAGCGCTACTTGAATACTCCCGAGTCCTCCTACCGCTAGGTGACGCTATGCTAGCCCTTTTTTTTTCCATTTTGCTCCATGTCATCATCATCATCATCATGATTATCATTTTGCTTTGTTTTTCTGTTCCTTCGCGTCGCCAGTCGCCATTTTGCGCTCGTGGATTTGTGCTTATAGGCCTGTTCACTCTTGCAACCGAGTACGACCGAGAGAGACCAGACCGGTTTTTAAGCCTTTTGCGACTTCTTAGGATCGGATGCGATGCAGCGGAGCTGGTCTTAAGAGATCGCAAAAGACTTAAAAACCAGTCTGGTCTCTCTCGGTCTTACTCGGTCGAAAGAGTGTGAACGGGCCTTATCTCATTCGGACAGCGCTGGCTTGGACGTCATGGCCCCATCTGTTGTTCTGCCGCCGCGATGTGTCGTTAAGAAGCACAGAAAGTACTCGACCATAACGCTAGAAAAGATGGCAGTGATTTTCAAGCTAACAGAAAGTTGCCGAACGCAAACGGAGGCGTAACCTGAAACAAGGCACTATTTACGGCTTTTTAAAGCCCACTTCGAAGTAATAAAGGCAAGTTTTTCAATCTGCTGAATTTTTGGAGTGCTCTATTGTTCGGACGTTTTTTCGGTCCCTGCGAAGTCCGAATAATCGGTCCGCGACTTAGTGCCATGTAACACTATACTGTCATTCTACATCATAATGTCACGTGAAATCAGTGTCATAATACACCATAGTGCCATGGGACATCATAGTGTCATGTAAAATCATAGTGCCATGTGTCATTATAGTGTCATGACTATAGTGCCATGGGACATCATAGTGTCATGTGAAATTATAGTGCCATGTGACATAGTGTCATGACATTATAGTGCCATGGGACATCATAGTGTCATGTGAAATAATAGTGCCATGTGACATTATAGTGTTATGACATTATAGTGCCATGGGACATCATAGTGTCTTGTGAAATTATAGTGCCATGTGACATTATAGTATCATGTGACACAATGGTGTCACGTGCCGACTATCACGTTGATCACATCATGTAAACACTGATGTCACCACAGTGTTCACATGATGACATCACAGTGAACCTTTTGAGACGCTATCGACATCAAATGAACGTAACGTCATCAGCGTGAAGCCAGCATGGAGGCCACGTCCCACCTAAGTTCTAAGAGCTGGCCCCAAAAAATTGGTTGCTCCTTTCTTTAAATGTTACCCTGTGTCACTGTTGCCAGGTGGATAACAACATCTTTATAATAGAGGAGTTGGTGAGGAAAGAAGACGAAGGAATGTATCAGTGTTGTGCGACCAACACGCTGGGATCAACCTACTCCTCGGCTCAGCTGAGAATTGTCAGTAAGTATTCTTTGTTTTGAGAGCCGTCTTCGCCTAGTCTCAGAGATCACCCGTGTCCCGACACATTAAAAAAACATATGCAAAGGAATAAAAAAAAAAAATATTTAAACAGCCTAAATGGAAAAAAGAAATGTCATAAAACAAATTTACGAAGAAAAAAAAATTATTTTCGGAGCTATATTTATGAGGATTTTTTGTCAAGTGATGTGTAACGGTCCTCCTTTCTACTTTTCTCTCTCGCGCCTGTGTGTTCCATATGGAAGAGAGGTAAGCCGCTTGGATTGGTTTGGCTGCTCAGCTAAACAACGTGCATAAGCCTCGTGCGACTTCCGCTCCACTTCGGTGCGCTCTGTACTCTTCGGTTTCTGTGCTGGTGGTGGTAGCAGTGGTAGCCTGCATCTTTTGCAATGGATTCAGAGTTGAAGCGAAGATTTTTCGAATGCATTAGGCAGCTAGGGCTTGGCCCCTATGAGGACACACCTCAAAGACCAGTGAATTTCCCTGCGGAAAGCTTCGAGGCCAGTGATGTGGCTGTGGACAGCGGTGCCGCCGGATCGCAGTGGTATGAGTCAAACGGAAGCTATGAATTTCTTATACTTGTTGTTTCTCATACGTAAAGTATTTTGTTAAAAAAAAAAAGGCAACAGAAAACAAAGATTAATAAGTAACTTTTAGAGCCGATAGGAAGCTCCTGGAAGAGCGCAAGCACCATGAGACTATAGTGGCCATTCACGTGACTGGTAGTTGCCACTTTCCCACGAAGTTGATGCCCGCAGGCTCCCGCGGGCATCAACTAGAACAGGGGTTCTCAAACTGGGTTCCGGGGAACACAGGGGTTCCACGAGCTAGTCTCATGGGTTCCGCGAGCACCCAAATTGCAACCCCCCCCCCCCCCCTCCCCCCCCATTGCCGCAGGCTGCATGGCAGGACCATGCAAAGCGCCTTCATCTCACTTTGTACTGGTATCGCGATTGATATGGTGGGGATGTATGGGAAGCAACAGAAGCAGAATTGCCTACAATTGTGCATCTGTTGCTTCTCGGTCGGCAAATATGGAGGGGGGGGGGGGGGGGGGGATGGTTCCTTGGCAATTTTTGAGGCTTCCTGGGGTTCCGCGAGACCAAAAAGTTTGAGAACCCCTGAACTAGAAATTTCTTTCGCACTGTAAACATAGCTTAAAAAAAAAAAAAAAAGAAGATTCCTTTGCATTTGTTTTTTTAGGTGTGACGCTTCATCGACTCATCTCTTGTTCGCATTTGATGCATTTATTTTTTGAGAGGGTCATACTTTTGCTGACTTTGCTGTGTGAACTTAAAACTTTTTTTGTGTAGTTTAAAATGACGTACTGTAAACGACTTAATTTTCGCGAATAGCCTACAATTCGCGAATAATAGGTCCCGTGAACGATTCCGGTAAAATGTAAACACATTGGAATCTATATTGAGATCTCACCGCGTCGAAAAAATTAAAACCCTCTAATTATTCCAAAACTTCAGCTTTGACCTAAATCTCTAACTATTGAGCCCGCAAAAAATAACTTGTTTAGAGTAATTGGGTTGCGCCGCAATGCAGCATTCCCGAGGGACGATAACTGTTGCTACCTCCGCCTTTTACACAGAACATATTCAGGGTTAAAATTTTGTTTACAAAAATGTCTCAAAAATGTGTACAGCAAAAGTTTGCTCGCTAAATCTTGAAGACTTGCTTCATCCTGCTAATTTAAGCGAGAGGCATTTTCTCGCTAGCGGGGAAACTGAATTAGTGTATAATTATACACCGATTAGGCTAGCAGTTGTCACGCTGATTTTTGCTGATTGATCACGGTCATTTTTGCTGAATTTAGCGGAATTCAGCGTGACTCCCGAGCTCATGAAAGCTCTGAAATAAACACCTGGTGCATCGAGCACACACTACACATCCTGTGTCTCTCGACTTGATCTCTAGGATTAAGATAAACCTAATTATATTGCGCCCACCCCTGTTCTGGAAATGAGCAGTCCTGGATTGCTGCAACACTTTATCGAATCGAGATATGTCCTCGAGTATCTTGTTCTTTTGAACCTTGCACCTTATGTGAAGGAACCGTTGCCGCTGTCCGCTCGGAGAGTGACACTCTTTTCTATACCTAAAACTAGCTAGATAGACAATGCCACGTCACTACAATGATAATTCCGTGACATACCCTAATAACTTCCCGTGACATTGTGTAACGATCAGCAAAACTTTTATAGACTTCATTTCTGTTGAATTTCTGTAGCTTTTTAATTTCGGTGGATGATTTCTATAGAAGTTCTCTAGAATATGGAAAGAAATTTCATGGAATGTCACGCGACATCGTCACGTCACGTGACACCACGATGGACATCGCCATTTCTTGGGCACAAAGTGTGGGATCCAAGTCTACGCCGAACACCGACGGATCGCTTATGTTTACTGCACGCTCAAAGTATGTGCCCAAACAATGGCGGACTTGTACAGTTGCAATTGGAAATTGTGACAAAGGCGCTAAACTCACAATTTTTTTTATTCTCTTTTTATTAAGCGATGGCACCGAACTTTGAGAAGTACCCATTGGAGTCCGAGACGTATGCGGCGGAAGAGGGCAACGTGACGATCGCCTGCCGACCCGAAGCCGCGCCCTTCCCGGAGTTCACGTGGCGCAGGGACGGCTACGCGGTGCCCACTGGCGGAAGGCTGCAGGTAAGCGAGATGCAACGCCTGCAGAGGTTGAACGACTCCTAAAACGAAAAACTGCGGATGAAAAATGACGAGGTCGAGATTTGTAGAATTTTGAGGGAGGCTGGGTAGAAAGAGGTACGATAAGAGGGCGGGTTGTCTGGGGAAAAATGTTGTTAAACAAACTCGTCCGAAGAAATAAAAAAAAATTTTCGTTTAAAACCACGCGATTGGCTGTGTCTCGGTGAAGTTTAGTAGCTGCTGCACCGTGGATTGCTTTGGCAATTGAGTTGACGAGAGGTAAAGAACATCCTCATCTGCTTTCCCCTTCCTTCTTTGTCGGCATACCAAAGTAAAGTAAGATTCGCTAAGTGTGAAAGTATCTAAAATGACATATTTTCTCGACTTTGCAGGAACCGCAACATGCACACAACTTCTGTAGAAGACATTTCTTTTTTTGTGTGTACCTTACAATTCGTGCAAGTTTCCTGCTTCGACATTTTCCGTGAAGGAATTCGCAGTTTGGCGACAACAAGGAGATACACTACCAAACTGACTTGTGGCTCGTTTAGGATGTTCCATCTTCTAAAGCGAAAGCATTAACTGTCTCGTGTAGCGAGCCGACGTCATCAGCTTTGAAACCGCGCCAAACGGCACCTTAAATCCTTTCTCCAAGTGTAGCCAGCTCCCAGCTATAAAACCACGCAAAAAGCCTGGACACGGCACCTTGTTTCCCCGATCCCAAAGGAGTGAAGTAAAGCTGATGAATTTTGAGGGGCAAAGCTCCGTAGGGTCTAGCCTTGTCCACCCGGCGTCCGTGCTAACATTGATTGCCATCCCGTCTGTCTTCTTAAAAAAGGAAAAAATGTTTGCACAGTCGACAGGATTCAAACCTGTGCAGGGAGACCCCAATGGATTTCTAGTCCATCGCCTTAACCACTCGGCCACGACTGGGGGACGAGTAGGGGGCTCTGAGATGTGGTAGTAACTCAAGAGCTGAGGATGTCATGGATGAGACGTTGCATGTAGCCTCTCAACGTCTATACATGAGAGGGCGCTGCGGTCAAATGCGTATATAACCGCGTTAAACTTTGCATGCATTGGCTCAACGTTTATAGACGAGAGGGCGCTGCGGTCAAATGCTCAAATGTGTATATAACCACGTTCCATACCACACATTCTCTTTCTGACATGGACCGTTGACTTAAGCGGTGGAGATGCGTTCCCTTGACTTCTAGCGGATTCAAGCTGATCTGCTAGAACCACTGGCTCTGCATTTCACCGACCATAAAGCAGTGAAGTCGAAATGCAACCCGGAACTCAGCACTACCTATGAGCAATAAAAAAAAAAATCAGCACCATCAGCACTACCTATGAACAAAATCAGTATCATCAGCACCACCAGAGCTTCGCCCCAATCAACATCATTCACCACATAGAGATGCGGCCATTTTTTGGCTTCAATCCCATTGGCTGGTGCGCGTTGACGAGGCTCCCATTGGCCGTTGCGCGTCGGTTTGAACGAACGCTCACCCGATGGCTCTGCGTGTCCGCGAGGCAGCGGCTCCACCGTTCCACGACCAAGGTCAGCACGCCGTACGCCGCTGACGAAAGAAGGGAGCGAAGAGCAGCGTGCATGCTTTCGCATTCACAACTCGTAAGAAGCGCTTAGGTCTACCTCGAGCCTTTTTGTTTTCATGCTTTAGTGCAACACCCTACCCTGTGTCGTGAACGTGTTTTCTTTTTCTACGACAGGTGCTGAACAACGGCTTTCTTCGAATCCACCCAGTCCGCCGCGAGGACGAGGGAAACTACACGTGCACGGCCAAGAACCAGTACGGCACCGCGACCAGCGGAGGCCGCCTCATTGTGCTGCGTAAGCGTGCTACCGTGATGTCATATCGTTCGAATTGGGCACGGCCGGATACATCTGGCTACAACTGTAGTTACGGCCGGGGATGGGGCTGCAGCCATAAATGTGGATTTGGATGTGTATCCGGCCTTTAATGCAGCTTGCAATGACAAAACGAGAACCTGCAGTTCAGCCTCTTTCAAGTCTCTAAAAATAGAAACTATTGTGCGGCTTTTTTCTGGGACTGGGTCGAGGGCGTATGCACGAAAGAAGTAGAAATTGTTTAAACAACATAATTCCCAAGAAGAAAAAAAACTGGCCAACGTCCAGGTTTTTTTTTAAATTGGGGTGCTCCGGTTGCTAATTTTTTGGAGGGAAAGGAACGATGTTTCATTGACGGTGTCAGCTCAGCAACTCGCACCTTTTTGTGATTTATAGTCAAGTTATTATAGGGCGTCGTTAATTTGGGCGGATTCCCTTTGAACAGCGCCGCCTAGGAGCCTGGAGGCCCCGCCACCAAGGCTACAGGCACACGTCGGGGGCACCGAGGAGCTCATGTGCCAGGCGATCGCACCCCACATGCTCGACCTGTCCTACATCTGGCTGCACAACGACCTGCGCCTGCACCCCCAGGACTGGCCCCAATACGGAGTCGTGAGTTCTTTCTGGATTCGCACGAATTTACTCGCATTAGGCGTTTGTGAGTCCGGTGATTCACATTAGGCATTTGTGAGTTAGTTGTCAGTCTGGTAACTCACATTGGGAGTTTGGGAGATAGTTGTTGCAAGGTCTGGAAACTAGTGTAAGCAAAGACAATGTATTGTTTCTAGAGGGATGAAAGTCATTCTTTTCTTGTTTTATTCAGCAGTGGATGGTACATACATGCTAAGAGTAAAAGTGCTCGACATTAATGAGTGAGAAGTTTGCCGTTTCTGTGGCATGCGCACTCGTTACCAAGAAGACATAGAAATATTTTCAATTCGGTGTCTTCCGCTTTTGTCTCGCCAAGATTTCTGAGAGATTTGGCAGCCACATTGGTACTTGGATTGAATTGACACTCGTGGCTACAAGGTGCAGATGTAAAAAGGGAAAAATGAAAGACGTTTGCAGTTCTTTGTAATGCCGAATTAGAGCGCAGCTTTTGAGGAGGAGGATGAGGAGCAGGGGAGAGGAGGGTATGCCCGTGTAACGTCACGAGGGTGACGTCATTCGTGACCCTTGTGACGCTCGTGAGCCTCGTGACGTCACTGGTAACCCTCGTGATGTCACTTGTGAACCTCATGACATCACTCGTGACGTCACGCGGTTACGTTGACGGTGACACTGCTCAACTTGGGAACAAGCGCCTAAGAGCTGCGCTCTTAAAAGATGTTTTATGTTGGAAAAAATGTTTTTTTCTACCGATAGCCATATAAAGGAGTTCACAAATGTACTGTTGTAGTCTCGCAAGACCTTGCTTCGTGTAACAGCTAGGGGACAAACTGCCAGAATGTGACTTAGCCGCTTCCACATTCCCTTCATAAAACCCGCAGGGTCGAAAGCCCGGCTACCTGGTCATATACAATGTGACCTTTGCCGAGGCTGGCCGCTACACGTGTATCGCCAAGACGTCCGTCGGAAAGGTGCTCGCCAACACAGAGCTGCTGGTCATCGGTATGTTGGATACCTTGATCATTGCTACCTCTTACACATAATAAAAGTTAAGTGGAATCTCCCACAATAATGTTCATGGGTAATGCGGGGCAACCAGAATAAACAAATAAATTAAGTAAAGTAAAAAAACGTAATATCTCCAATGTCTGTACCAGTGCTACGAGCTTACTAGTAGTACAACTTTACTACACTTGGCATTGTATTTAACAAAGGGAAAGAAGATCACACTGGCTTTGTTTGCCTTCTCTTTGTTGTCTGTAGAGCAGTGTGGATAAGTGAGTAAAGAGAGGTAAAAAAATTGAGAAGTACTAAGAACGAAGCATATGTTTCCTGCAGGTTGTGAAATCCGATGTCCGTGTCCTATTTTCTTTCACACAAGCCCTGATAGACGCTAAGTTTTTCTCCGATACAAATATTTGTTGCCGAAAAGCTCCGAGCCGATGTAAAGAAATAAACCCCGAAAAAACGCCCCCAAAAACATGAATCCCTGTTTATAAATAACCATTTCTGATTTATAGTATTACATGCATTTGATCTTGCAAATTGTGCAAAACCTGCCCTTTAGTGAAATGCAGTTCTGGGGCGACCTCATAGATGGTGACAGTGCGTCAGAGTGAGAGATTACATGAACTCGGGTTTTAAGCAAAGGCAAGTGTGTAACGGGCCTTCACCCGAACCTAAACTTGCCACGCGCGCTGTGGAACGAGCAGAAAAGAAGGTGTCGCGGAGAAACTAGAGGTATGGCGTGTTTCTAGGTCCCCCTGGACCCCCCGGTGCAGTGCTGGGCAGCAACTTCAACGCGACTTCTGGGTTCATCGAGTGGGCGGACGGGACCAACCACGGCAGGCCGATCACGAGCTACGCCATCGAGGGCCGCACCAATCACAACGGCACCTGGAGGGAGCTTATCAGTGAGTGGTTTCCCGCATAAGGTGTTGTAGGTACCAGTCGGAAGGGTCTGGTACCTTACGAGTCGAAGAGATCGTCGTCAAATAGGCCAAAAAAAGTCGGTGCTCGTTGTGCATAACAAGCTCAGATTGTCGTCAAAGGTGTATTATAGTGGTAAGTTTTATCCTTTGAAATTTTAAGGCATAGCTCTGTTCAGGCGAAATAATAGAACAACTTTTGATGGCGAGCTCCAACGCAGACAGCCCGAGTTGTCCAAGAGTCATGCTCGTGGTGCCATCTACTGACGGGCGAAAGAAAGAGACGGTGGTGGCATCTGAAAGATTGCATCACAAACGCAACTTTTGGGCAACTTGGTTGTCTGCACCAGTGCCATTCAAAATGTCAAGAATGTTCTAATTTTTCACAGGCACTGAGCTACGCCTTGAAATTTCATGAACCAAAAACCACCGCTAAAATACAGCTTTGGTGAGAATTTGAATTCGTTAGGTGCAGGCGCCGATTTTTCCCGCTCGTTTAACGGCAAGCCCCTCGACCTGTAACACTCTGTGTACACCTTTCCGGCGTTCATTACCGAGGCAAAAAGATGTCGAGTCACTGGGCAGTGGACGCTTGTGCGGTGTACACTATGTATGCTCGGAACGTATTCCTCAGCCCAGTAGACAAAGATGACAGCTCTCAGGAGGCTACTTTCGGAACGGCCTATGGACTCTATCCCCTGCGTCCTCCAGACATCACGTACGCCGCGGAGCGCCGGATGACCCCCGGCCGGCGCGGAGTGGAACTGGGTCCCGTGCTTTCCCCGTGGAGCAAGTACGAGTTCCGCGTCATTGCTGGCAACGACCTCGGCGTCGGACAGCCGTCGGACCCGAGCCCCCAGTACAACACGGCGCTGGACGCCCCGTACGTGGCGCCGCGGAACGTCGGGGGCGGTGGCGGCAAGGCGGGCTCCCTCACCATCACCTGGGAGGTGAGTGGCTCTCGCTCGCCGATTGCGTCGCCTACCGCGAACTGTGGCGGTCCGTTTCTGTCTCCCTGTCTTCTTTCTGTCTTTCTGTGTTCGTCCAGCTGTTTCTGTCTGCCTTTCTGTACGTGTTTGCTTGTGCGCAGAGTCAGCATTTGGCTACAACTTGTGTCCTCACCGATCAAACGCGAGTTCCGGCCGATCGCTGATGCAGCACCGGTGTCTGATCCGTGCCCCCCTTTTTGCAATCAAACATTGCAAAAACGGGGGCACAAGAAAATGCAACCAAATGTCGCGACGTGCCCTCATTTCCAATTTATATCTCAGAAATGGGGTGTAGCACAATGTCTGGTCGCCTTTTAATAAATAAAGGAGGCCGCACGTGACTGTAATTTTACCTTTCTTGGGATGCTTAGGACGCATAGATTGAGTATGGCCATAAAAACACAATCTCGAAGCCCCCATAGCATCTCTTAAAAGGCATCTGCAGGGAAAAAAAGTGTTCTTTAAACAGCCTATATGGGACCAGCATGCCACAAAACAAATCTTCCGCAAAAAAACAAACTTTTTCTAGCAATATTTATGCCGCAGGACGTAATTTAGTCGGAGTCGCAACTTCTCCACATTTGAAACTCCCACTCTTTCGACGCGCGCGGAGTGGCCGTTATACGTCACTCCAGGACGTATAGTGCCATACGTGACATATAATACCACCTTTGTGGCACGCGATTTAAATTGGATGAAATAGCCGCAAACTAAAATCAATCGTGCAATAAATATTTCTGTAAAAAATTTTGTTTTTGGCGAAAAAATTATTTTGTGATATGCTTGTCCCAATTAGGCTGTTTAAAAATAGTCTTTTTTCTTTGCAGTTACCCTTTAACCCTCTGGCGGTCGTCGCCAACATGTGTGTTGATGATTACACGTTTGAAAGTGACGGCCCAAAATGCTAAATAGCGTGCACTGTGGGAGGTGTTGCTATGTGGTACGTCTTTGGTGAGCTATAATTGTTATATCAGCACAGTGTTTCGCTTTACCGAGTTATTTCTAATTTCCAAATATGACGCTTTGCACGTGTGATGCTCACTTCGCATGCCGGCCGCTCCGGTGGTAGTGCCAGTGGGAGCACCGGCTCTTTCAATTCGGACTTCTTGTAACGCCTTTTGTAATTAAATTCAGAGGACGAGAGTTCATCATTCGACGGAGAAGCTCTGTAAAGTATCTCCAGTTAAGAATCTGAATGCGCCGGAACGTCGCTGAAGCGGACGTGCCAAAATGAAGCAGAATGGAAGGAAAGTGACAACTTTTTGCCTTAAACATTTTTATTTGATGCTTCTATATCTAAACAGCCTGCAAGCACTGTTCACATGCTCACGCTAGATAATTAAGGAAAAACCCGTGCGTCGACCCTTCTTTTAAACTATTCCTTTGTTAACAAAACCTAACCACTAAGAACAACCCTAAAAGAAAAAAAACAAACTCGACCGTCGCAGGGTTAAAGACACTACAATTCATGCTAGCCAACTCACAAACGAGTGCAAGAGTAAAAGCAAAACAGAGATCGTCCGCAGGTAGGGAAGAAAGCCAAAGCCGCGTTCCAGCACGCGAAGGGGGACGGAAAATCAACTCGAAATAACGCCCTTGTTAAACTCGGCTCCCTCTTCTCATCGCAGCGTCTGTCACCAGAGGAGTGGAACTCCCCGGAGATCTGGTACCAGGTGTACTACCGGCCGAAAGGGGACCGCAGCGAGCCCCGCAAGAAGAACCTCCGCAACCTGGGCAATGTCGGGCTCTACGTGGTGCCAGTGGGCGAGGAGAACTACTACTTCCCCTACGAGGTGGGTGGCGATGGGTTGCATCGACGACCGGAGTGCCGCATTCTTTCCCCGTCAACTTGTAATAATTCCGACAATATTTCTTTTAAATTTCATTTCGTTTCATGTCTCTTTTCTGCGCTCACGACCAGCCGATGCCTAGGCAACGATGTACAAGCAGCGAGATTGCAAATTAGTCGGAAACAACCTAAATGCTATAACAACTTTCGATGCCTTGGCAACGATGTACAAGCAGCGAGATTGCAAATTAGTCGGAAACAACCTAAATGCTATAACAACTTATATATGTCAATATCTTCTGCACCGAGGGTGTTACGCAAGTGTTGTATGTAGATCGTGGGGCTAATTAATACAATTTGAGGAGCGAAAAAAAAATTGGGGTTTCGTGTTTTATCTTTTTCTTGATGAAGGGTATTCTTTCAGGTTTATTGTTTTCCACAGATTTGTGGTTTTTCGGTGTCGGACCAAACGGGGGGGGGGGGCTTACGTCGAGGAAGATAGGGAGTGAGATTCCCCAACTTCCAGGGAACGTGCCCAAACACTAAAAAAATGTCCCGGTACCGATTAAAAAAAACGAGATGAAGTGTGCTGTTCCGAAGCAAGGAGGCAGCCTCGTGGACAGTGCTGCGTTCTGGGTCAACAAAAAATGAAGCTGTAGACGAAGATATTCTTCCTGCGAAGATTGTTTTTTTTTTCTTATATGAGGAGAGCTCCTATTCGTCGTTTGTCGGTTTTTTCCGATTTCGACGAAACCGACTCGGGGCTGAATTTTGGGGACTAGTTGGTGCTTACTAGCTTTGTGCGAAGATTCGAGATTTTAAATATAAATCAAATATTTTTTTATTCGATTCATATTCGATTCGAGAATTGCATATTCGGAAGTTTCCGAATATTCGGTTATGGCCGAATATTCAGGCAATGTACGAATATTCAGGCAAAAAGTAAATAATCCACATGCAGGACATGACCCGAACACCCAGAGCTTCCTTAAAGGGCAACTCCGCTCAAACCCGAAAAATTTAGGCTTCCATGTGATTCACATTCACAAAGCACTACTGAACAACTCTACGTCTTCGGATTCGCGAAATGTGGAATATTATTTGTGTAACCCTAATTTAAACATCAGCAGATACCGAAACCGAAACTTCGGTTGCGTCAGGCAACATTGGTCTCGGGTCACCAGGGTCATGGCCACGTCACGTCGAACCACGTGGTCTTGTGACGTTCGGAAGGGAGCGAGAAACAAGACACGCGACGCGGGCAGTTCTTTTTTTTTTTTTTTTTTATTGGACGCGGGCAGGTCGCTTTGCATGGCGTGGACGGTGATGGCCCAGGAGCGAGGGGGAAGGGGAGAAGACGAAAGAGGAGAAAAGGAGCGGAGAAACAGGCCGATAAGCGCGCCGGGCAGCGCAAACTAGCGCATCCGTGTTACGGTGATCACGTGAATGCCCGGTCAGCCAACACCGGGAGGAGAAACTCATGACGTCATCGTTCAATTTCGCTCTGAGAAGTAAAAACAAGCAAAACGTGAGAATGACGTAGTCATGCCTCTGACGTAGTGGCTCAACGTTGGCCGCTCCAACTCCGTGGCATTGACTGCGTTGATGATTGCGCCGCACGCTAAAGTTGGCAGATTTCGGCGACTTGGCTCGCTTGAAGGTTTGATGGCCAGTTTATTAAATATATAAACGGAATTAGATCGTAATATTTGACATGGGGTCTTCCTATATGATACTGAAGAGGGCCTACATAGTTTTCTAAATATCAAAAATGAAGCGGAGTTGCCCTTTAAAAGCCATGTTTAGTCGCCTGAAATCCGAAATCGTAAAAAAAATTACAGGAGGACGCTTAAGACGGTTTACATGTAGGAATGCGAAAGCTATCGTACACACGGTGCATTCCTACAAGCAGTGCACTCTGCTCCTCCGCAAAAACCGGCCTCTGCGGTGGCCGCACGCGCCGGCCTCTCCCTTTTATTGGCACGTGGGCCGCAGCACCAGGAAGGGGGCTTCTTTGTGGGGTGGCATTCCTCAGAACTATGATGCGTCGCAGGCATTTTAACTGCCGTTTTGCTGAGGAAAGAAATTTAGGAGCCGTTTTTCGGGGTTACAAATTTCTTGCTGCGCTCCATGGGAGAGTTAATGCTTTCGCATTAAAACTAAATTGCTGCTGATTCTACCGCGCAGATAAAATAATGAAGGTTGAACAGATACCTCATAGAACAGAATTTAGGAAACTCACGCTAACATAAAAATAAATGCTGTGCACTAGTCGCCGTTGTTGAAATCTGACCGACGATGGCTCTTCGCTGTCCAGAGGTTTGCTTTCATCTAAAGCGTTTTAGGTGCCGTGCCTCTTGCACCTCTCGGAGGGTCTCTTTCAGACAACACTTTGCGGGCTCGTCGGTTCGCTGGGATTGCAAGGCCACGCAAAGCTGCTCCGTCATTATTTTTGTCAGCCAGCGTGATGGCCTTTCATCTAAATAAAACCTCCAAGTGGAATATTTTTTTTGTTTTTTCATTTTAAAAGGGCAGACGCGAGTCCGTAGATGCGAGAAAATGCCCGTGATATGCATACCAAAATGGCAAGTGTAAACAAGCGGTCACGATGGCCACGGGGCTAGTCACCTTATAATGAGTATTGCGGTTTTCTTTTGAGTTTTGGATTTTGGTTTTGTTTGTAATGCGCATGTAGTTTTGGGCATTGATTTTGGTGGAGAAAAGTGAGCATTAAGAATTGTGTGAACGTGGTATGTATTAACTCACAACAAAGGAGCTGTTTTGGTTTTTGTTTTGTCAAGCCTGCCATTGTGAGCCACTTTTCTAGTGACCTTATATTTTCCGCTGCAGGAGCAAGGGTATTTTCTGCTGCAGGAGCACTTTTCACTGAGAAAAGAAAGTGCCTATGTACTGAACATGGGGAACAATTAATTTTCTTGTATGATATTTTGCAATAATTTCATTAGCAGCTGACATCTAACTTACTGGCTAGTCAAGGGCAATTTCAATTTTTTTTCTTGAAAAAAAGGTCACTACCAGTTGTTTGTGTGACATTACAGGTTGCTTTTTTACATGCTATGTAGACCTGTGCAATTTTGTACAGTCTTAATTTTGTTTATTTGTATAACTTATCAGTTGCACCTTTTGCCTGCTTTCATGTGCAGTTGAGGGGTGATATATAATAGCTGTGTTACCAGCTGCATTGTTTATATGCTTCCTAGTCAGTATAGTTTCCTCTATTTGAGCTTGTCAACATCATTTTCAGTTTTGAAGGTGAAGAAAGCATTTGCATTCTTTTTGTTATTTCTTAATGGTACAGACACATTCGAAACATGAGGATAGACTGCTCACAAATAGACAGAACAGACGAGGTAAGAAGAGAATGGAAGAGAAGCGCGTCATCATGATATTTAATGCATACCAACTAGCCCAGCTTACTATCTTACTACATTTGAAACATATTCAATATTAAAATTTTTTTTCCTAATATTCATATTCGAAAATTTCAATATTCGCACACCCCTAGTATTTACCGAATATACGGAACACTCCTAGTCATAAGCCTCGTTAAGAGTGCGGTGAACATTTGATCTCGCGAATACTGCCAAGCCCTAAACGTCGCGTGATGTCCACAGGTGCAAGTGCAGGCGGTGAACGTGCGTGGCGATGGCCCCATCTCAGATGCGGTGACAGTTTTCTCGGCGGAGGGCATGCCCCAGGTGCAGCCGTCGGGGGTCTTTGCTCTGCCCCACAACTCAACCGCCCTCAATGTCACATGGACCCCCTTGGACATCACCCGAGAGAAGATTCGAGGAAAGCTCATTGGACACAGGGTGAGCGGCCCCCCCAACCCGATGCTAGGATGTCTGCTTAATAGTGTTGCGTGAATATTCGAATTTTCGAATAATACGCTATTCGATATTCACTTCGAGATAAGCTGAGATATTCATACTTTTCAAATTGTTGATCGTGGCGGACTAGTCTTGTTAGTGCGCTTCTCGCCGAGCACCTGTGCACTGCGGAAAAGCAATACCCGCAGAGCTCGCGGGCTCCGCGGGTATTGCTTCCCCGCAGTGCACAGGTGCTCGATAAGAAGCGCACTCAACGGGGCTAACCCACCGCGATTATGCAAGTGTATGAGTTAGTCATCAATGTCTTGACAACCCATGTTCGTCATTCGTGCTTTTTTTTTTTTTTTTGTCAGACTTGAAATTGGAGATAGAATATTTGCATGTAGCAAGCATGTTTATAAATCCCTTCGATTAGGATATCTGTGACAGTTTTGTCGTTTATATGGCACAGTTCATAAATATAGCTATATTAAAATTAACTGAGCTTAGAAGTGGACTAGTAGTAGGTTGGGAACAACCTGTGCGAGTTCAGCTGAATTTTTGTTTAAGCATGGAGCACGGTAGTGAAAGGTTTGCAGAAACTATTCAATATCCAATTAGAATATATTGGGCCAAAACCGCTACTATTCGCTTCCAACTCAAAATCCACTATTCGCACATGACTACTGTTCAGTACTCAGCTTCGAATGCCTTCTCATTGTTGTGTGCCCGTGCTCCTTGCGTGCGTGCCATCTCTTCTTTTAATCAGCCGTTTTGCCCCCCACGGTGTGTTGATGTCTCCTGTAGGGAAGACGAAACGGTGCACTTTGTTTTATTCAATTTGTCTTCTGCAAGCGGAAATTTTCATAAACTTGCAGACACCGGTGCATGTCCCCTAAATTTAGGGACAAGAACGAAAAGGGGCGATTAGGGGAACGCACTCTAACCCATCGGAGCTTTTTATATCGGGAGAGCTTGGCCAACGGGCAGAGCATGTCGCCCGCTAGAACAAGTCGACTTCAGGATAACCCAAGATGGCGTGTCATCTAACCGAAAGACAGCCGTGGTTTGTTACGCTTCAACAACCCAGGATTGTAGAGGGAACATACCGTTTCCCAATTGCAAGACTCTCGGCTACAGTTGCTGATGCATCGTCGCACAAAAATTTTTTGTACCAGCCAGCGTTCTTTTCGCTGCATTGCCGACGTCGCCGTGCTCCATCGCAACGGCGCAACGTTTTTGTCGCCCGGTGCTTGCTCCGTGTAGAAATCGCCGCGATTTCTCCTCACTTCTATAGACCAACATGCTGGCTTGACGTCACGGAGCTGCGCTGCGATCGCGCCAGAGCTGGGTAGTGTGGGCAAAAGGGTGCACGTTTTGCTAGGGCGTCATAGCATTTCAGCATGCTGCAAAGCTGTGTAGCCGTTAATTGCACCAAAAGGTACAGCAAAAGTAGCGGGGTGAGTTTCCACAAGTTCCTGGCAGACTCTGAAAGGCACGCAAGGTGGATAATATCCGTGGATCGAAAATAATGGTCGCCTCACGTGGACACCCGTTCGTGCGGCAAGTGCTTTCTTGAAGACAAGTGTGGCTTCCATTTCAATCTCTGTCTTGAGGCTTGCTTATGTGGAGGAAAACCGTCGTCTGATCGAGACCACCGGGATATTGTTTCCACGGTGTTCGAGCAACAAAGCACCGGCCAAGCGCTCGTTGGTAGCTCGCTACGCCCGCTATCAGGCTAAAGAAGATCGGCGATAGAACGTCAGTGTTGTGGGCTTTACCTAAAAGAAGTAACGAGATACGTTACTCGTTACTTGCAAATAAAAGGATCGCATTACTGTTACCGATAAGAAGCAACGCACGTTACTTTTGCGTTACTTTTTAATTACGATTTAACTCGTTTTACTCTTTTGACGGTATAGGTATGCATAAAATCCTTTTTTAAGAAGAAACATTATGTTCATGCAGAAACTGAACATAATTACTTTATCTCTTTTTACGGTTTCACTTAAATACTCACTAGAAAAAATGCAAAGAAAAACGCGGAAAACTCAGAAATTTACGTGGCTTAAAAATGCCTAAAAACACAGAAAAAATTGAAGTGTAATTCCTTTAAGACTTGGGAAGAAGAAGCAACAAGTAACATAACTATGTTGCCCGTTACTTGAAATAGTAACGTAAATAAGTTACTTGTTACTGTTTTGAAAAAGTAATGAGTATGTTACTATGTTACTGAAAAAAGTAATGTGTTACCGGTAATGCCGTTACTTGTAATATGTTAGCACCAAGACTGTAGAACGGACAAGGCGTTACCGCTTGTCATGCCTTGTGGTCATGAGGTTAGGAAAAATATCATACCTTGAGTTCAAGATGCCGTGTGTATTTATTTAAATAATAAATTCACTTCCGCAGACCCACAGTCTGCTGATCCCGCCTATAGTGCGGCAACTGGCTGGAGGTAATCGTAGGCCTAGAGAGACTTGTACTCCTGCACCGTGTCGGCCGTCAACTGGCTTGGCGAAAAAACTAAATAAACGACGACGTGAGCGGTCAACGTCGATGGCAGCAATTTTGCGTTGGAACTGCACCAGGTTTTGTTCACGGCGTATGGATCGTCGAAGGCAACGCTGTCCACGCACATTTTGTCTAGATACCGCTGCCGTTCAGGCTCGGGTAGCGAGCTCAAATAGTCAGGCATAACATACGACATACGTTGGCAGAAAATACGACGCACAAATAAAGCTAGAAGTGTCTCTACAACGTCAACAACGAGCGCACGCCATAGAACGTAATGGCGAAAACATGAAGAGCGTGGCCGCTTTTGCCCACATAGCTGCTGCGCATGCGTGGCCTCCCGGCCGTGTAGGTAAACAGAGCCTTGCAGCGTGTCGGTCCATAGATGTCTCTGAGGCGTGTCGAAGTAGAGCCTGACGGAGCATGTTTCCGGTTTGCCTTGCCGCAGATCAAGTACTGGAAGAGCGACTCCAACCCGGAGCTCGATTCCCTGGTGCTGCTCAAGCGGGGCATCGAGAACTGGGGGCTCATCGTGGGGCTGCAGCCCAATACGGAGTACCGGGTGGCCGTGATGGCATACAACGACGCGGGCTCGGGCCCCGAGAGCGAGTTCTTCGTGGCCAAGACCTTCAAGGCGGCACCCCTGAGGCCCCCGACCAGCGTCAAGGTCCGGGCGCACTCGGACACCAGCGTCAAGGTCACCTGGCGCGGCGTCCTGCCCTCCATCGAGGAAGAGTCCATCCAGGCACGTCCAGGAACTTGGCTCGTCCAAAAGTTCTCTTGTTTAATTTTGTGGTGCCGATGACATCGTTGAAGTGTCACGTCGCCGGCAAGTGATCCTGCCATTGTCTCTGAGAGCTTGTTCCGCTTGTGCCTTTGTTGCGGCACCGCAGGGCTACAAGGTCCGCTACTGGGAGGCGGATCAGGACCTTACTTCGGCCAAGGAGGTCTATAAGGCTCTGGATGGAGAGGACCTGGAAGCCATCGTTACGGGCCTGGTGCCGGGCAAGGTGTACAAGCTCCGCGTCCTTGCCTGGAGCTACGGAGGGGATGGCAAGATGTCGTCGCCGCCTTGGGAGTTCCGCGTCGGTAAGTGTCTCCTTTCTCGATGAAATTTTACAGCGAAGCTGTATGCGCTAGGATTCGGGGGAAAAAAATGTGTCCGCCGATATTGACAGAAAACTCCCCCCCATTAGTCGTGGCAAGTCTGGATAAATAAAAATAAAGAGGGGGCAACCAGCGTGAGTCAGCCTTCCTTGGCATTATTAGATAGTGAGGTCCTGATCCCTTGTTATCATCTCTAGGCATCGTCCTCAAGGTCGTCCTTGGCGTCGTCCTCTAGGCCTCGTCCTTGAGGTCGTCCTAGATTTGATGTTGTCCTAGACGTCCTCGAGGTCTCTTTAGAAGTCGTCCGAGAGGTCCTCTAGGCGTCGTCCTCGAGGTCGTCCTAGAGGTTGTCCTAGACGTCGTCCTCTAGGTGTCATCCTCGAGGTCGTCCTAGAAGTCGTCCTCTAGGCATCGTCCTCAAGGTCGTCGTAGAGGTCATCCTCGAGGACGACCTCTAGGGCGCGAAATTCATAATAGTTATTATGAAATCGGAAAATGAAAATGTTGCAAAAAACCAACATTCAAATATGCCCGCATTTTTTCAGTGCCGTGCCGTCAGTGGAAGGCAGGCTTGCCAGTCCAGCAAGCAGTCTAAAAAATGGGCTATGTCAAACATTTGTTCCGTGCTGGTGCGTGCATACTGGAGGGAGGTTCCAAAGTATTTATTTGACACCATGAACTTGCTTGTAATCAGTTGGGAACAAAATCTACAGCCCGAAAAGCGAACCCATGCCTTCCACTGGCATCACTTTTTGCTGTTGCCAGTAGAGACTCAGTTTGAAAAATATGGTGAGGACCAAAATTGTAAATTCAATAACTTGTTGAAAAAGAAACATTTTGACCTAATATTTGGTATACTATTTTAACGATGTTCGTTGCTGTGTTTAGCACATTTTCAGCAAATCGGGGATCATGAAGAAATTGCCGGAGTACAGCTTTAACTGGGGGAGGGGGATCGAACCTTGGTAGCAGAAAAAGAGTGGACTTATTCTGCTGTAGTTTTCATCAGGGTTTGCCACTCTTCTGTGAGGTACTGGTAAGAGGAAACCAGCAGGAATTGCGACAGAGTCTCTGTGCAGGTTCCTCCAAACAACCGAATGCGAGCTTTTCTTTTTCTTTTTTTAGTTATTAGTGTTTAATAAATACCGATCATTCATGAAGCAGAGAACGGGGATCAGATTTTGTTTGTACGCACCTGTTTCTGCAAATGTGAATTCATGTTGCTGCGACAGGCCCAACGGACAGGTGGGTCCCTTGCTAAAACAAGCGGGAAAGGGTGGACTCCAAGATGGATAATCCTCTTAGATTATCTTTAAGCCCTGGTGTTATTAGGTTGTCTATACTTCATTTCAGCTAGGTCCGAGCGCGGCCGATGTCATGAGCCGAAGGGCCAATAAAACAGCGGAAGAGGCAGAACGCCATGACGTGCTCTCTGCAGTTGATAGGACTAGCCGGTATTCGCCGTCTCTCTATGCACGCTCCTCTGCCGGCTAGTCCTATCAAGCACAAAAAGCACGCCATGACGTTGTGCTTTTTGCGCTGTTTCATTGGCCCTTCGGCTCATAACATCGTCCGCGCTCGGACCTAAGGTGAAACGAAGTATAGCATTAGTTTCCGTTATATAGTTTCTTTGGGGGACGAGCAGATTATCTTTGAGCTCGTCGGGTTTCCCGATGCGTTTCACGGTGCTGACGTTGCGTCTTACCTACTTGCGTTCGTTTCAGGGGAGGGCACATCGGCCTACACGAGTGCCACCGCGATCCACTTGGGAAGCTTCCTGTCCTTGGGCTTCTCCTACCTGCTCACCAGATTGTAAAGTCCGAAAGGTGGGTGGAGCGTCTGCTTCTTGCGGACCATTGGAGTGAGCGGTTTGGGATGTCTGGGGCAGTTATTGACTGTGTAACTGGGTGACAAATTAGCGACATTTCGAGTTAGCAAACGAACGTTGCATCTGTGCTAAAATATGCATCCACGAGAATAGTGCTTACATTGTTTAGCACAGACGGTATACTAAATGTGCACTGCAAGCGTGCATTTCATACAAGTTAGGACATGTGCAAGTTTTGGGGGAGTTCAACCCTCGATTAGGACATGGTTTTATTCGAGTTTGTTTTCAAAAACTAAATGATAACGTTGGAAATTGTTTTTAATATTTTTTAAACTTTTTCTAAGTGTTGCGAGTGATGAGTTTATCTTGATTGAGTGCGTCTTCCCCCTGCGGCATTGGTGCATTGCGGCAAAGCGACAGCCATGGTGGCGGTGTCAGTCGTGTGCAGCTCTAGCCTTCACTGTGGTAGCGAAAAACTAGCGACACGGGTCGTTGCGGCAGAATGGGGAACTAGGTCTGGGTAGAAAGTAAAATCTGCACAAAGGTGCCGACAGAAGGCACTGGCGGTGCCGATCGCACGGGTCGCAGTTGCCTCAGTTTTTCCCCGCTCCCCCTTTTTCTCTCTTTCCCTCCATTCCACGTATTCAATGTTCTATGTTCTGACCATTCGTTACTCTGACTCCTCTGGTTCGATTGCAATTTTCAAAGATAGCTTGTTTGAGCCCGAAACATTTGAGTAGAGCTTATGTGCTCAACAGCTGTCTTCGAAACACGCACGACCCCGCAGAGTTACTGGTACACGGCATTATATTAAACAACAAAAGAAATCTGCCGATGTTTTATTTGTATTCGTCAAAGAACAATACAGTTTCGCAGACACTGGACCTTGAGGCATCCACGACTGGATTGCAGAGTTGTTAAAGAGTACCTCGATGAAGTCTGCGCAGGGAGAGGTGAACTCTTTCTGATAAGTAGATATAACAGCATCCTTCTGCAAATATGTAGAAGAAACAAAACTCACTTCATGTGCGGTTGCTTCGGCACGTTTTAAACTGTTACATGTTTAGCGAGACTAATTTGCAAATTTCTCAAGGAGGTTAAAACTTAAATCAACAAATATACACCTTTATAAAAAAAAAAAGGTTTAGTTTTACTTTTCTAATCTTCGCGGACAACTTCATTGAGCTTTCTTTTTCTGTCTTACGACTAAATATATGTACAGACAGGTAACTGTCACAGAACACAGCTAGAACTTGCCTGCAGTAAACAAAAATCCAGGGTGCCAGTCTTCCGCACATTTCCAAACGCCGCATCCCGGATGAGCGCGCAAGCTTCGAGCAAAAACCAAGACGTTGCTTGGACCTCACATACTTCTAGCGATCGAACGACCTCGTAGGAAACACTGACGGCAAAACGGATCCTCCAGTTCCGATGTGTCGATTTCTCCAACTTTGCGTTGGCGCATCTGAACTATCCGCGCTCCGCACAGTGCGTGATGAGGACGGAGAGCAGAGAAAACCGTTGCAGCAGCCACAGGTAGAAATTCAAATGCTGGTGCCACAAATTATGCAACCCCTCAGGAGAGGGGCTTTCTGATTGACTCAGGCAGACGGAAAGCGTTGACCGTACGGTGATTGAGGTGGTCTTCCACCGCGGTGCGTTAAAATGTAGCGGTGAGAACCCGAACTAGGTACAGGTGGTAACGTGTTGATAGAGGTAGAATTGGTGGCATGTGGCGCCTCACTCCAGTCAACCTACGAATTTCAGAGCTGCATCCCGTTGGCGGTGTTGCGGGTACGACTTTTCCGCAGTGAAGCTGCGCAAAAGGGTCGAAGCATCATTCAAACAAATTTGTGCACACGTTAAAAAAAGAATGTTGTGGATTTTTTTTTTTCTTTTTCTTTCAACAGGTGCTTCAACGTGTCAATGCAATATACTGTTCACAGTGGATTGGATCTCGCTGGTTGTGTGTTTGAGTAGAAATATGTGGAGTAGCACCGGTAATGTAACCGGCAGTGTACAGCAAATTGGGATTAGTAACACAAGTACTTTAGTTTTGTCTAGTAGACAACATGAGTTTTGCAAGAAGCAAAAGTATGCAGGCAAGCTGGTTAGGAAACATAATAGTCTAATCCATTTGAAAAACAGCGCGAAAGACACACGGACAAGAAGGAGAGAGACAGGACGAGGCGCTGACACGTAAACGGCGATTAAGGCAGATAACCATGAAGGGTCCGAAAGAAGGTGAGGAGAACATAGAAAAGAGCCCTTTGCAGTATAAATGAAGCTTACTAGAATAGAAAGTTGGGCGAGTTGGTAAGAATCTTCTTACCAACTCGCCCAACTTTCTATTCTAGTAAGCTTCATTTCTACTACAAAGAACTCTTTTCTATGTTCTCCTCACCTTCTTTCGGACCCTTCGTGGTTATCTGCCTTAATCGCCGTTTACGTGTCAGCGCCTCGTCCTGTGTCTCTCCTTCTTGTCCGTGTGTCTTTTGCGCTGTTTTTCAAATGGATTCTTACCAACTCGCCCAACTTTCTATTCTAATAATAGTCTAAACCCCGAGACACTGAGAAATAAAATACTAACAAACAACACAAAGTTTCTTGTCTATTACAGTGCAATCCACTTAAAACGACACCACATGTAACTATGTACTGCTTATAACCTTCAGTTTCAAGAGTTTCTAGACTAGAAACAATCCATTTCTAGGCCAGGTACAACGATAATCGTTTGTAACGACTGAATTTTCTGGTTTTCTCGTTTTCATTATAAGTGGGTTCCACTGTATTATATTTCTCGATGTCTCAGGACTTAGACTATGATGTAACATAAGTTTGTGTGCTGAAGCTATGTTTCCTTTTTCAGCATTCAAAACACTGGAGATGCCAAGGCCCATCGCAACTCTCGATGGAACCTGCCGTCGGCTCAGAGTCGGCGAGACGAACGCCGTGCCCGTGCTTTCACCTGCCGTTTAGAGCATACCTGTGATTGGGAGCCGTTGAATCTCAATTTGAGTTACGTATTAGCCGGAATACGAGACTGTTCGAGCCCCAAGAGGGACTGGACTTCTCCGCGAATGTGAATACGGTCATCTTCGTCCTTAGCAAAAGAACAGAAGCCTCATTGGTACGCTACCTCTTAGAAATAAGGCGGCCAGTTTCTATGAAGTCGAATCTATCATATCCCTCTCTGTAATTTTATGAAGGGATTTTTAAACATTTACATTGTTTGCGTGGGATCGATGCGTGCTGCGGCGCAGCATCGAGCTGTTGCGTCCACTTCATCTCGTAGTTTTCGGACATATACTTTTCCTCGTGTATGCTCCGTTTTATACTTAATATGCAACGCTGTCAAAGCTACTGGTGCGAGCGCGTGGCTTTGTCTATGGTTCCGTTTGTGCTAGCACGCATGCAGATTATTGAGATCGAGCCTCATGCTTGCACCAGTAGCTTTGACAGCGTTGTACGCCAAGTGTGAAACAGAGTAGTATCTACAGACATACGGAGTGCATAACCTGAAATGTTGACGTGTGTCGCTTCAATTAGAGTAATTGGAGCCAAATCCGGTTCGATTATTAATGCACCAGATGCAGAACTTTTCTCATGTGGTTTGTCAGTGTTGTACAGTTGAAGCTCTCACCACTTGAGCTCAGTATGCTAAGAGACGTTAGCCAAGTGGATATTGTCAACTCGAGGCCGACTCGGCGATTGAGGCAGCTTTGCACACAGTTTCCGACCATACACTGTTCATGTTCAGCGTCTTTTTAACTAGGAAACTCTCAGCAGGCAACTGCAAGAGGAAGTGTGGATTTTTTTCTACCGCGACTCGATCGTGCACTGCCACTTCCTAGGGCGAATTCGAATGGTCAGTTTGGAGTGCTTATTTTTTTATTGAGCTAAGTGCTTTAAGCCGATTGTTTGATTTTTCCGTCACCTTTTCGACGTGTCATTGCGATCTAGCTCTACGATGGCAGAGAAGGCTATTCTCGTTGAGGGGACGTGTTGGTTAGTGACGGGCGAACGGTTGTTGGGGCTTCCAGCCGTCGTTGGAAGCTTTGGTGCCACGTTTGAAGGTGTGTCGGTTGTGGAGCGTTTCTCGTAAACGAGAGGGGCAGGTCCTTTTCCTTTTTTTTTTTTTTTTGCCAGCTCTCGGGCGACTATTAACATTTCGAGGTGCTTTTGAGAGGAGTTGCGTCCATTGTTGTGCGTGGATGTGGTTCACATTTATAGTTTTTTACACTTTTTTATTTTTTATCAGAGCTGCTGTTTTTGGGAGAACGCCAATCTCTTATAGGCATTATATAGCATTTACAGAAACATTCCAGAAGAGAGCGATCTGACATGTTCATTCCCTTTGCTTTTCAAAGCAACATTTGTACATATGCCACTTTTCGAGACACCGATTAAAGATGCAAGTATTTCTGTACGTTCTTGTTGTCCCGACTCGTATGCCAGACTTTGCCACATACTATCAAGTGCAATCTCTTACAACAAGAGAACACAATAACGCCATCTATCAGGCAGCCATGGAACACTCGCAATTTCCGTACATTTCCAATGCGGAGCGCAAGTTCGCCTGCTTTTTTTGCAGGAGTTGTGGCGATATCGGAGCGCTGAGCTCCGATTTAGAGACATAGTGGGTAGACCTTAAAGCAAGCTGCCTTGAGGTCTACACCCACTATTCTTCAGTTGGAGCCAATCAGAGCTCGGCATTTTAATGTCACCACGACCGCTGCAAAGAGCAGACAAACTTGAGCTCCGCATTGTTTTCACGCATTATTCTTTCACAGCTGGCTCGAAAATGTTATAAACAACCATTTTTCGTAGATAGTATGTACAGTCGACTCCCATTAATTCAAACTCTGTTAATTCAAACTTCTGGATAATTCAAACTAGCATACAGGTCTCATCCTATGCGTGTCTATGGGAGGAAACTCCCGATAATTCAAACTTTGCTTTATTCAAACAAATTTTCGGCCCCCCTCAAGCTTGAATGAACGAGATTCGACTGTATATGCTTGATCTCGCAATACTGCAAAAAAAAATGTTTGCTCTAGCGAAATGCAGTCCCAAGGCCACATCATAGATGCCGCCAGCATGCGTGCTCATTGTCCCTTCAGTTCTTACTTTAACCAGTGCTTTCAAAAACACAGAAACGGTACATCGTCATTTCAATAAAGTGAGCAGTTGGACCGCCACATTTTAAACAGGGAAGAAGCTGTAGGATTTTTCTGTTCTTAGATGGAACAAAACAAATTCTTGTTTTGGGCAGAAATGGCCCTTTTTGGTAATGGGAATGTATGTGACCGACGATGCGAACAGCGACAAAACGGAACAAGTATGAATGCGAGTCGGTCGCCTACATTTTCACTGGCTTTGGCATCGAACCACAATGTGAGATACAAAGAAAATACTACGCAAAAAGGACAGAACACATACATCACGGCATTCCCAACACAAACCGCGATGGTACCGAGACGTCGCAAGTCGTGAAGTCTGCTCGGCTGCAATCCATACTCAACTCGTGAATCCTGCCTGCACCATGCATGAACGCTAATATAAAAATTCGAATCTACCACTAAAGAAACAACAAAACAAATGGAGGTCGCAAAAGAGTTTGAGAAGGCAGCAGTGTCGAAAAAATTGCGCAATGTTTCCGCTGAAGAAACGCTTCATTCGGAGGGGGCCCCAACGTTCGAAGGCAATGTTTGTAGCATCACGAGTTGAAAGCATAGTTCACTGGTGGGTCTAATTTCCAGGGCAGGCAGTCCAATTGGGACAGGAGTCCAGTGTCGTGTCACTACCGGACTGACAATAGTAGCGAGCTGCCGAGGGATGCCCTTCCGGTACCAACGGCAATTCCCTATCATTTCCACCTTGCACTGTACACATCAAAACAATGCAGATACCTTAGCTTCTGTAAACTTCCAATATTCAGGAACAATCCTGAGGCATCAAGACAATCAAAAGACCCTGCCAGAGCTTCGACCAGCGCAATCGGTCATTTGAAAGAATTCCAGAGGGCTCTTCACAAGGTGCGCAATGAATTGTGGGAATGTCCTGTACTCTCCTTTTTCTCGCAGCATCTACCGTGCGACACTGGAGACCCAACGCCACCAGGCGTAAGTAAGTGCGGTTGCTTGTATGCCCTAAACTAGGTCGTCTCGTCTACAACAGCTGGTGCTGAATGGACGCTGACTGGAACACCTTTCAGTGCCAGCAGAGGGTGCTGCATTTTCTGTAGATGGTTGATTCACTCATACTATAGTTTGTTTCACTCTACATCCAGGCGCAAAGGATGCTACGAGTCAATGGAGCCAATCGAAGGCCGTGCAAGCGTCGCGTCACCATGGAGAGGGGGCGCAGTGACGCACAGAGACATTATTACGTACTACGATCACAGAGCAGGATAGGCAGGGATAGGCAGGGATGTTTCGTAGTGTCCGCTGCGTCTGGACGCATGGTGGAACGGAGTATAGTAACAACATCCACTGGTCACTCTACCAATTTCCCTTGTCCGCTCCCAACTGCAGTTCAGCTGACCCCGATCGATGCAAAGGCCACAAACATGCTGATCGCATTGAAATGCACCTTTTCCCACACGAGTCCTTGTGCAAAGCCAATGTTTTAAGGGAACCACCAGCTCTTCCCAAGTATGCCTTGCCCCATGCCTGGGTCAAAATCACCAACTACCGTCAAGACAAAACAGGTCCATCTGGAATAAGATCTGTAATGCTGGTTATCACTGCAAACCATGGATCTCGGACTGGGATGCCTCAATGCAAGAACAACTCGAAAGGCTCAAGTGTCCCGCGTCGTCAACTTGATGGCGACGACGTCCCGCTTCATCCTCGCCTGATCCACCAGTTCCCCGCTGACCCCCTGAATGTTTCTGGAGGCCGGATGGACCGCCGTTACCCCCTCGGACCACCGCGGATCGAACCTGTCGCCCCTCGCCTCGCAGATGTTGTGCAGAACGCAGCAAGCCACGACCAGGTCCCCGGCATTGCTGAGGTCCCCCTCATACTTCTGGGCTAGACACTTCCAGCGCCCCTTGAGCTTCAGGACCGTCTGCTCTGCGTAGCCGAGCGCCCCGGACACGGCGCTGTTGAAGGTACGTTGGACTTTGGTCGCCGTCTGCTGGTACGGCGTCAAGACTTCGGGGCGTAGCGGAAAAGAGGAGTCCCCGATGAGGTAGAACAGCGACGACTCGGAGGCTCCAGACTCTCCCATCTGCTGAGTGCCTCCCAGGAGTTCGTTGGGGAACGCCCAGTCTTCAAGGCGACCTGGTCTCGAAGGAGTCTGACCGGCCCTGACCGCCGAGATCTGTCCGTCTCTGCCGATGACGACTTGGAGGAGGCAAGCGTGGAGACCCGACTGTTCTTCGCCGGGAACGGCGTACTCGGCCTTCACGTAAAGTGGCGGGTTGACGGCGACGTACGTTGAACAGAGGACGCCCAGGCAACCAGGGAGCCCGTAGACCTCTTCGAAGAAGGCCATGGTGTTTTCGGCGGGTCTCACTATCCTCGGGGCGACGTGTAGGAGCAGGGCTTGCACGGCCTCTTTGAGGACGAGACAGGCCGACGACCTACCGATGCCGAAGAGCTGGCTGAGTACCTTGTAGTGGCAGTTGTTGGCGAGTCGCCACAGGAAGACGGCCACCTTTTTTTCGACGGGGGTAGCGGGCCTCCAGGCCGTGTCTTGGGTCTGAATGTGTTCGCGGAGGGCCTCGCACAGGTGTTGAAAAGTCTCCTGGCTCGCGTGGAAGTTGTGCAACCAGTCCTGGGCGCTGAAGTCGGGCGAGATAATGTGCTGCCAGAAGTTGTCGCTGCGGACCCGGGCCCAGACGCGGCGCCGGCGTCCAACGCGGTCGGTGCCCCCGCCCGCGGTTCTCGCGGGTCGGGGTTCCGGGGACGGGGATCGGCGCGCCGTGGCCGAGGCTAGCAGCGCGACGAGCCTGCGGTTTCGTTGCTGCAGCATTCGGATGCGACGTTCGTGCCGTTTGCGCCGCAAGCGAAGCAGCATGATCCCCGCTGCTATGACGCTGAAGGTGGTCATGTAGACGCCGTGCTCGTAGCTGTCCATCTTCGCTGGCGGGCTTGTCCCTGGCGCTTTCTTTTTCTTTTACGAGCTGCTCGTGATTATTTGTGGACTTTACTCTTTACTGTGCGGCTCGGCACTCGCTTGAAACCAGCGTTCCTCCGAGCCCAAGGCACCCAAGGGTCTAAGCCAGTCAGCCGTCATTTTGTGATAGTCGACAGAAACATGGGAAACAACGGTAGAGATTTCGATCTGATTTAACACGCCGTCGTTTCCGCCGCTAGTTCATAATGGCGCAAATATCGGTTGCGACTAAATCTTTTGGTGTATTAGAATATTTTGCAAAGTTTTCTCCTACTGCTTAGCTAAAGCTCCGTTAACTTAAACGTCGCAGTCAAATATAATTTTTAGCTTTACAAGCTCAAAGTGGAGTAGAACTTAGAAGTCAACAGACATCTTCCCAAACACGAAGCGCCCTCACCGTGGCGAACTAGCTGTCCATGAAGTTTCGGTTTCGATCGTTGGACATCTGGGGCGGTGTGGACGTGTGCCGTGTGGAGTCGTTGGCGTCGTTGCGTACCAGAGTTGCGTACAACTGCAGTCCCCGTGAGGGTGGCGTTCTTTTTAATTTATTTTCAATTTTTATTATTTGCCGATCGCGTCTGTACTTAGTGTTACTAGAGAGTTTTAGTACATCGTGTTTCAGGCAACGCGAGCTCGCTCTGTCGCGGGAGCTCGCGCTGCCACTTCGAAGCATGCCCTGAAGCGCGCGCCCGGAGCGAAAGGGGGCCTCTGAAAACGTTCTGAAACTCAGTATTAATTGCTTGCATTACGAGGTTCGAATAGATGTTTGCAAGGCGAACAGGAAACGGGATTGTGTGCGCACCATCCTATCAATCACGGCTGTTTGCACACTGCTTGGGAGATCAAAAGCGGCCGCTAAAGAGTCCTACGTTTTACGAAAAATCTCCGCTGCAGCTTGCAAGATAATTTCGTCAGAGTGAAGCATTTTGGCACAAATGTACGTTGTTGCCATGTACGGGACAGACTTTGTTCTTTGAATTTAGTACATTGAAACCACTGAAAAGCCGTAACCCCGGTAGTTGGATCATTTACTAAGAACGGCTTGTTATTGAGTACTTAAAGGGGTACTTACTGCATCAGGTTGTACACGGTTTGCCGTCAGCGCCACACGCGTCAATGCGTTGTCCCAAACTTCACTGTACCCAAACCAAAACCATACAGTCTGCCATTTCGCCCGCTCCTGGCCAATTAGTTTGGAACGGCAATAGTTTTTGACATAATAAAGGAACATTTTACAATATTTTCCGCTAAGTCATGTGCCACGGAAGAACGTAAATTTCTTTAAAAATTGCCTGAGCGGCATCATGCAGCAGACGACGCGGCCCGTTCGGGAAAGGGACTATTTCGACGTCCACTTTCAAAATAATTTTAATATTATTTTCACGTCTCAAAACACATCCACACTGTGTCGATTCTTGATCGGTATCCAAGTGTGCGAAGGCACAGAGACACAGCTCTTCGGCGTGCCAAGGCAGCTTTGAACACGCCGCGAGACCGGTGAAACTTGCTTTCGACGAGGTGTTCCTTTTTCCTGCACGACTGCACTTCAGTAAAAATTTTCTTGTGTTCTCAGCGGCAAGTCTCACAGCTTACATGGGCTTTTAAAAAAATTTCTTCGGCAAATGACGACGAGCGAGTAGAAAACGTGCTATCGACACGCTGCCGGCAGCCTCTGCAACGCTAGCGAAAATGCGATTTCGCTACATGCAAGACGGACGTCCGGTGGATTGGGTTAGGTCCTTGTGGAAGTAATGCTTCGAAAAGTTATTACGCTAACGAAGTGACATATCTTAAAAAGAAAAGCACATTTATAAATATTGTCGATTATCATTTCTACATACCACGAATGTTTCATACACATAGAAGTATAATTTATTATAAACTGATTTTTGGCCACTTCCGTTTTATTTTTTATTTTTATTTGTTTTTCTTATCCGGGCGCCTTGTTGCCAAAAGGCGTTAGGTTTCGGAATGAACGCGTTTTTTTATGGGACTTCACCGTGTGTCAAATCTTTTTTTGGTGCTGCTGGGCAAAGGGAAATTCCGATAAAACTGCCGGTATTGTGCTTACCGATGCACTACGCGTTTGCAAGAAGGCTGAAGCTGTGAACCAACTCTCACAAGTGCTCTTGTTTTGTTTTCATCGCGATAAACCTCGCTGTCGTCACCGTCGCACATGAACGGCGATGCGATCCTGTCTTGTTGAAGAAACGCAGCCGTGTCGATGAAACGTCGCAAAACATCAAGCTCTCTCCCCCCCCCCCCCCCCCCCCCCCCCCCCCCCCCGGGCACCCAAAAGAAAAATAAATAAATAAATAAATAAAGAATTACAGTGTTATTATTACTTTTTTTTTTTTTCCTGCAAATCTACGCATCGCTAAACGCTCACCCTCCGCCTAAATGTATCGCTAGTGGTCCAAACCAGATCCCAAAGTTTCAAAACTATTCGTTATTATTTCAACCAAAAGTCATGCGATGTTTCGAAAACTTCAATGAAAAAATGGGGACCGGTTTCGTCCGTTTTCGGTAAATGGCGTAATTCAGCTTCATGTATTCGATAGCTCCGTCGGTCGCCATTTTCCCATTAAAAATCTCTGAAAATCATTTATACAATTTTCACGAAAGAATTACACATAAAAGACAGAACACGGACACCTTAAAAAAAAACTATATCATTTATAACTTTTGAAGAAAATAATGCTTAGTTCTGAAAGTTTGTTATCTGCTGCGAACCGCTTGAACTACATTTTCCGCATGATGGTTTCCAAAACTTGTTCTAAATTTTGGTGTCGTTCTGTGCACTTGTGCTTGCAATGGGTGATTTCGTTATTGATAGCGGACACTGAACGGTGCTATTATCGTGCCCTTTTTCATTTGAGCAGTACAATCTTTTATTTGTATTATTGATTTTTTGTCACTCTTATAGACGGAGACTACCACAAAAAACACTAATTCCCCCCCCCCCCCCCCCCCCCCTCTCCAAACACACACATATATATATACAAGGTGTTTTTTTTTATAAGCTTAGCAGGTTTGTTTAAAAAAAGCCGTGAAAGTTACACTTATGCCGCTTGTGGAGGTGAGTTATACGGTCAGGGGGACATATTATAGGGGGCTAATCGTAATGATCAGTCGTCTAATTAATTAAAATCTGTTAATTAACGTTTTAATTAATGAAAATAGACATATGGTTCCAATTAGAAACTTGCTCAGCGTCATCGAAAACCACTAAATCAATCATTTTCAGAAAGACTTTTGGCGCGTGAGAAGCGTAGTATTGTACTAAATTTACCACTCGTGGAGCAGGTACAAAGCTGGGGCTTGATAAGAGACAGAAAAATCGCGCGGGCGCCTTATCGTAACCGCTAGCTTTGTACCTGTTCCACGAGTGGTAACTTTAGTGCACTACTACGCTTCTCACGCGCTCAAAGTCTTCCTGAAAATTACTGATTTAGTGGTTTTCGATAACGCTGGGCAAGTTTCTAATTTGAAACATATGTCTACTTTCATTAATTAGAAAAGTTAATTAACCAATTTTAACTAATTAGCCGACTGATCGTTACGATTAGCCCCCTATAATATGTCCCCCTGGCCGTATAACTCACCTCTATAAGCGGCATAAGTGTAACTTTCACGGCTTTTTTTAAACAACTCTGTTAAGCTTAAAAAAACACCATATATATATATATATATATATATATATATATATATATATATATATATATATATATATATATATATATTTGTTTAAGACCTGCGCGATTTTGGTTTGTATCTCAATCAACATTTCCTCAGGTTGAAAATAGGTGTATTCAGGCGAAAACACCTTCACAAACCCACCAAAAGATGTATCGACAATTCTCTGCCACGCTCAATCGGTGTATTCAGAACATTACACCTATTGTAAAGAAAATATAGCGTGTTGAAAAGGTGCATTCGGAATGAAACACCTTGCAAACACCGCGATAGGTGTTTTGAAGTTTACTGTGTGGTCTCCGGGAGGAAAGGACGCACGGAGTACTATTTTAGCGGCGAAGCTCCTTAGGGGCTAGCCATGTCCGCATGTCCGTCCGATGTCCGGCGTCGGGTGCTCGTGCTCAAGAGCACGTGAGCACGTGCTCCGGTGCTCGTGTAGGGCAAAAACACAACCGTATCTCCACGTGGTGAATGATGTTGATTGGGGCGAAGCTCTGGTGGTGCTTGTCTGCGTAGACGGTGAGCCGCAGCATGCCGAGGCTTTCGTTCGGTTTCATCCATGTCAGAAAGAGAATGTGTGGTATGGAACGTGGTTATATACGCATTTGAGCATTTGACCGCAGCGTGATATGGATGAAAACGAACGAAAGGCTCAGCATGCTGCGGCTCAGCGTCTACGCAGACAAGCACCACCAGAGCTTTGCCCCAATCAACATCATTCACCACGTGGAGATGCGTTTTTTTGTTGTTTTTTTATTACTTTTACGAATTAATGTTTTAGAGCTCTCACGGAAACGTTTCAATCATTCAATAAACCGGTCGAAAACAATTTGATCCCGAAGAACGAAATCGATCGTCATGTCCGGTTGGGAAAACAAAGTACGGAGTGATCGTCAACGGAATCGAACCCACATTAAATAAATTGCTCAAATTAGTTTCCCTGGCTAAGGCACTGTAGTCTGTCAAGTCTACATGAAACTAGATATGATGCATATGATTCGGGGAATTAGCCACTGGAAAAAATTAATCGCATCATTCAAAATGTGCAAATAAAATTAATGATACCAAACAAGTGAAACCTTTTTCGTAACAAGATAAAAAAGAAAAAGGGAAGAAAACAGACGCAGCGAGGGGAACATTTTCTCACATTCCTCTCGTTTCCTGGTTTGTCAAACAGATTGACACAATTTATTATTTTCAGAAGTCCATCAAGCAACATTGGCGGCCGCCATTTCTTGTTTAGTTTGGGCTAGGTGGCGCAAGTTACCGCCCGTTACAAAGGGTATAGCCATTTACATCCATCCATTCATCCAAACATCCATGGCACACGAAGCTTGTGATTGGATCCGAGTCCTCGACGAGCACTGATGTATCCTTCGTGTCCAACGCATGCCCAGCGTGCCCCTGCCCAAACAATGGCGGGCTCGGATTATTGGCGCAGCAGCTACATA